CTGTGGCAAACTCATCTTTCTTAGGGCTCCTCTGCAGGTGGAGGCTGAGTTTGGGTGTCTCCAGGCACATCACTGCAGGTTGGGAAGGATGACAGAGCAGCCTGGCAATGTGCTGGATATTGTATCTATTTGGCTTTCTAAAGGGTTAGAGATTTCCTGCTCCAGTTCTTACATGGACTCCAGATGCAGGATTCCTGCTTAATCAGCATGCCTTCCTCTTTGCTTTTCAGGAAAAACTCTGCTAACCTGCCATGTAGTTTAAGGCTTCATAAAGCTGTGTCAGAAACCAGAGCTGCCTGACCAGTGCAATGGCAGGCCATTTTGTCACGTCACAGTGTTGGCTCTGCACACAACTGTTGTGTTTGGTGGCCAGGATAGCTTGGTGTGAGATGAAATTCTGCATAGCTGGAGTGAATCACAGGCTGCAGGAGCTGTGCAAGCACCAGCCGTGTCTTGCAGAGTGAGCCTGTGTTTTGAACAACTCAGATGGTATCTTGCCCCAGGTTCTTTCCACGCTGTCAAAATCAGTGCTGCTGGGTGATCATGTAGTTATCAGAGGGTAGATGGTTTGACCTAATTATTCTGGTTTAAAGCAAATCAATGCCTTTTATGAATTCTTATATTGGTGTAAGTCTAGCTCATTTCTGCCCATTCAGAATAAATAAGTGTGAGCCTTAGGAGTTTAAATAATATTAACTTGTTACACACCCATTTCTGAAACTGATATCCAGTGTCTGCATTTGCAAATGGGCAGCATGTGGGATCCAGCCAGGGGAAAATACTTGTATGAATTATAAATAAGCCCTGTCTGTGCTCTGTGCTGGATGTTTCTAACAGCTCTTTAGCTGAAATAACATGCAATCACATAAATATTTGGATTCTGCTTAACAGGTGGACTGGCAGAAAGAACAAGAGCAAGCAACATTATACAATCCCATATAATCCAAGCTACACATGTACCTTGGGTAATGCAAGTGTTTATATACACTTACACATATCTGTGGAACTATATTGTTAATTCTTGAGGTGGAGCTGCTACTGTGTGTGATATGCTGGCTTCATAAACTGTTTGGACTGAAGTGGAAGAAACTGCTCTTTTATTTGCAGAATAAGAATGTAATGATTTAAACTTAATTCTTTGCATTTGCTCTCCTGAAAACATAGCCTGCTATTTCTGGTTATCTTTTGTACTGATCTTTTGTTTGGTCGTTTCCTGTATTGATATGTTTTTTTCCCATTTCAACATATAAACTTCTGGACTGCTGCACTTCTGGTTTCCTTGGGAAGTAAAGAGTGATAACAAATACACAGCTTCAACTCCAGCAACGAGTCAGCCAATACAACAGAGAAGAGGTGGTGGTCAGCACTGCCTGGGGACAGAGCATGGCTTTGTCTGGACACCAGTGTGCAGCCTGGCCACTGGGAGCTAGGCAGAGCTCAGGATGGGGGCCCATGGCCACACACAGGGAGGGTTTGGGTGGCTGGGGAGTGTTTCAGGTCTTGTCAAAGGAGCACTGGGTGGGCTCCCATTCCCACTCCTGGGCATTGCACTGTTTTCTGTTTCTTACTGGCTACTTACTGATGATGGGTGCTGGGTGCAGGTGATGGGGACCTCTGGAGGTCTTCACCCACTCTGTCCACTAGTGTGGGATACTGGTAAGATTTCGCTGCCATCCTTAACTCCCACCTCATCCTCGAGGCCAGAAGCTATAAAATGAAATTGATGAGAAACAATTAGATGGTCTATTTCTCTGGTGTCTACAGGTAACATTATCTAGTGGAGGAGGCAGCAAATGCTCACTAATACTCCAGTCAGTTTAAGCTAAGCAATTGACCACCCCCACTCTCACCCTTCTTTTTTTTTTTAATTTTTTTTTTCATGCTGAGATATTTTCCTTTAAAAGATACTTCCTTTTCCCAGCATTTCATGCACTTCTTCATTTCCAGCAGGGGTTAATTCCCAATTAAAGCGTGGTTTGCTAACAGTGTATATAACCATGTAATGGAAAAAAAGGTTTCTTAGATGGAAAAATATTTACCCAGAAAGAACTTAGCTCTAGGCTTAGAGCAAGCAGAGAAAGTATGCGAAAGCATTGTCAGTAAATGAAGGTCATCCTTCTCCCTCGATACTTTGCTTGAACTGGTAAATAGGAATTTGTTCCTTATGGAAAATAGAGACACTGGATACTTGAAAAGGCAGAATGCACATATGCACCTCTTCTTATGACACCAAACCAATCAATGCATAAAAAGACAAGATGCCAAGGATGTAGTCACTAGTAAGATCCAGACAGCTGAAAACATCTGAAAATCTGTGAAAATATGCAAAATGAAAATAAAAATAGCTGTGCTGGTTTGGAAATGCACAAGCAATGTCTCGTTTCTATTCCTTAATAGGGGCTTACATTTGCATCAAATGAATTTCATTACTTGCTACTGAAGAGATCTTCCTAAGGGGCATGCATTTCCCCCTTATTAGCTCAGGTTATGTCTTCTTGCTAAGTAGAGATCTCTCCATGCTTGCATAGGTATTCTCTGATTACTGTAAATGCCTTGATTTGTGACTCCAGGCATGTGCAGGGGTCTCCAGTAACAAGGCAGGGCTGCAATGGACTTCATTCTCACAGCCTGCTTTGTATTAGCTGTTGTCGTGTTACTTTACACCAAGGGGTTGGAGGGTTAGAGGTGATGTTTAGACACATGGAGTCTTGTGAGATTGTGCTTGCAGGTGAGTGCTGCCATTAACCTGCAGAGAGATTTTCTTTTGATGGAAAATAATGTGGATTTATATTCTGAGTTCCGCAAACAGAGGCTTTTGTGATAAGAAGAGAACAGCAGTGATACAAGGTCCTCTCGAGAAAGGCACTAGTAGCTTAGTGCGACAGCTCACTCTTCTCTTTCTTTTCCCTTCCTTTCTCTAAAGATTCCCTATGTGGCACAGAAATACTTTCTGAACCTTTACATCACACCCTGTCTATCTGTCACATATGCTCTTGCACTTGCACCTATGGGCTGACAAGCCTGGTTGGCCCAGTTCTCCACCCAGGCTGTTTGCCACAGTTTAGCTGCCTGTTGGAGCTGAGTCTGGGTGTTAGGACAGTGTAATTCAGCCATGACAAAGCAATAAAAACAAACAGTTTATCTTTGTGTTCTGGCTCTTGGAAGACGGATATGCCTAACAGCAGGAAGTCATGGTTTACCTAAAAACAGGTGGAACCCAGACCACGGTAGGTCTGAGCTCCATTTGGCTCCAGACCATTACATCATCAATGGACTTAACCCACAGAAAACATCTAAGGGTTGCAAGTATGAGGGATCTGGAATTAATATGTTCACATTTTAACTTTTTTTTTTTTTTTAATTTGGAGGTGATTACTGGAAAATGGTGGTGTTACTAAGTAGATGGTTTTCCTTCCAGCTCTGTAGTATTTGTATTCCTTTGCCTTGTTTAATATTTTATGAGCATTTTTTCTTGGATTTATTTGTAAACAAGACAGCAGAGGCCAGGACCTGAAAACTATTAGAGATGTAATCCAAAAACTGTGAAAATCAGGATTATCTTGCCTATGAGATCAGATGACTAATAATCTAATAGGGATTATTATAAAACCCAAACCAGGAACTGAGTAACTCTTCCATGCTTTTAAAGCAGTAATTCCGACTATTCTTTTTATCCATATGGACTAGGTAGTTGATCCTTTGCTCCTTATCTCCCACCAAAGCATCTCTGAATGCCAGTGATATGTAATTTTTAATGGGAAACTGTGAATTTGGAGTGAAATAAACTTTACACGAATTGCAGTTAGTCACCGGACAATATTTGGTGTTTTGTTATTGTGGACAAAAAAAGCAATATCTGAGGAGCTCTGGCTTGTCAATTCTGCTGCATCCATCCTGCTGAGAGCTGCTGTCCTCAGCCTGCCTCACCTACTTCTGTGTCTCCCATGTCCTTGATGCACAGTGACGCCTTTGCATCTGGTGTAGCAAGTCGATGCAACACCAAAAGTCTAAAATCCACTGAATGCCTCCCCTAGACTTCCCCATACCTAGATGGTAAGCTCTTATTTGGTCTATCCAAGTCTCTCCAAAGGAACATCTGATGGAAATGGTGGTAATAGTATCTTTTCCTGCCTTTTTTTTTTTTTTTTAAGTTGTACAAAATATTGCCTAGGTATATGATTTACAAACACTTGCGTCTTTGTAGGGTTAAAACTAGGGTCTGCCAAGTTTCTTTGTCATGTTGACAGCAGCAGATACAGGGATGGCTCCCTCAGAGCCAAAGGTTTGGCAGGCTTTTTCTGGATGTCTAACTGATGATGGAGAAATGAATAACTGACTGCTGCTGAGGCAGAGAGACACGTCACATCTCACTGATGCTATTTGAATTGGCTGACTTGTGACACATAATAGAAGTGTTTTCCTTTGGATCTAGGGTGAATCATGAAAATGTCTGATTACAGAGAATGTCAACTAATTTTCCCTGTTGGCTTAAATTTCTCTACATTATTGCTGTCCTTATTTCTAGAAATGGCTTATCAACAAGTTTGATTTGTGAAATGCTAAAAACTAAGCTGGCTAAAGGAGCACCTCCAGTGTTATGATTTCTACTGGCCAAAGTGAGCATCAGCAAGCTGTGGACATTTGGTCTGTGAATGTGATTCCCTGTCCTTAATGGCCTCTGACAGTGGAAATCCCCACCAGAGCCCAAATTTGCTTAGTGGTGGGAAACGAGTTTGCCCAGCATTTCCTTCCATGCAGTCCCAAATCTGTCCTAAGATAGCAGGCCAGATCTGAGCAGTTCTTTACCTTGGGAGGGTGTTTCTCTCCACCAGCCCGGCTGCCCTTACGTGACGGTGCAGAGTTCACTGCAAAGCCTCGGTGTTGACATCAGGAATATGACAGTCCTTATCCGGCCACAGACGTTTTCAAAAGCGCTGGCTGGTGGCCTGAGGTACCTGAAGCAGTTACTAATTGTTTGATGATGACGCAAATGACTGGGTCCAATTTCAGCCCTGCTGCCGGCTCCCGGGCAGGAATGACCTGCTCGGCTATTACTGCTCTCCATATCCTGGTGAAAGGCAGGTAATGGCAGTAAATTCCCCAGGGGCTGAGCTCCTGCCATAGGTAAGTTATATTGAAAGGGGGGTTTCATTTCTTTTGGTGTGAAATACTCTTTGCTCTGCCCTTTTTTTCTGATTAAAATATGTGGCTCTTTTTTTGTCTCCTCCACATTTTATGTAGAAATTGTTTCAGATGCCTGTGTAAGCATAATTTCACATGCTTTTGCTATTATCCAAAGCTGTTTAAAATCATATTAAATGGCTTAAAGATTCTCCTTTTTGTCCAGGTTCCTGGCCTAACACTCCTGTAGCAGGCACATCATACAAGATTGTTTCACCAGGACTTGTGAGCTGTCCTCTGCACTACTGGCGACACTTGTGGAAAACTGCTTCAATATCAACTCAGTATCACATGGCTTCCTATGTTTTCATAAATGTTTCCACTTCTGATTTGGTCATTTATAGCAGATGCCATCTCATGTCCTTTATGCAATGGCCAAAACATAAGACATATCCTGGGTATTAGTGGTGGGAAGCACCAGACCACAGCCTACCCAGCCCGGCTCTGTGACATGGCTGTGCCTACTCTCCCTGTGTAAGATGGGATAGTAATGGGTGGATTAAAAAGCTTTCAGAGTCTATCAGCTGCCATTCAATTCCCATGATTAATGAGAGAGAAGTGGGTCAGAAACACAGAACAGAGGCTGGAGAGGTCCCCTGGAATCACACCAGATGTACCAGTGGTCTTCTGCTGCAGTTGGCTTGTGTGGGGTCAGTTCTGAGAGGCAGCAGGCAGGCAGCTGAGGGAAGGGCTCTTGCATGAGAGGCTGAGGCTGGGTGAAGTATCCAGAACAACTGTGGGAGATATGTTCTGTGTACAACCCTGAGAATATTTTCTGTATGGCTTTGTCACCTATGTGGTTAGTCAGTCCCGTCCAGGCTTTTTGCAAAAAAAAAAAGAAAAGTGAAGAGAAAAGAGAAAAATAGCTCCTTGTTTTTAATGGTAATGTTTAAAAATAATATAAAACTCTCCTCAGTGGCCAAACCACAGAAATTGCCATGCAGATCCAAGAGCAGGTGTGCCTCCTGGAGCTACTGGAACAGCATCAGAAACCTGCTAGATCCCCAGTAAAAAGTGTCCTCTTAATTCTGGGTCAAATTCTGCTCCAAATGTGGTTGAGAGCAAAACTCCTATTTACTTTAATACTTGCTGCCTTTCATCTGTTGTTTTTGGAATAAACTGGGATCAGACCTGAGAAGTGCACACAACTAGTGTCTGTTAGGGCAGAAGGAAGCTAGTGATGCTGGGAGAGGTTTGAGAATGGAGAGGCTGGTATGTCCCTGTTCTTGGGAGGAGACCTTTCACAGGTGTAACACAGCAAAGAATATTCCTGGTCTTTCCGCAGGAAACTCAAGTTATAGCCTTCCATTTTCACTTCATATTTTCCTTAATTTCACCCACAGGCTGCTTTGGATATCTGCAGCCAAATGCTTGTGTGGCACTGGGCTCAGACGGTCATTTCCACGGGGCTTTTGTGTTGCTCCCTCCTGCCAAAGCAGTGGCTCTGGGGGAGCCATCCCTGTATGTGCTGTTGTCAGTGTGATTAACCCAGCAAAACAGCCTGGCCTCAGCTATTGAGCTGTCCCCCAGTGCCTGAGTAGGTGCTTCTGCTTCATTGGCTTCATGGAGCTTCATGGACTTCAGGCTTCACTCAATAAAAAGTATCTACCTTCTTCAGCCTGGGACATGAAGGATTTCAGTCATTTTTTTTGCTGTGGAAGTCATCCCATTCCTTCAAGAACAGCAGGCTGACTGGATATTTTCTTGCATTGTGATGGAAATAAGGAAATAAAGAAGTTAAGTTGTGTGCATAGGCTGCTACAGGGTGTATTTCCAAACTGAAATTCCTAATCATACAGCCAGTCCAGTTTTTGGGTCAGTGTGGATTTGGGATGCTAAGTCATGGTTAACACAAATGTCCAAATAGATTCAGACCTTCCAACATTCTTCTATCTAGTTGTACCCATCACAGACTTCAGAGATAATTGACCTATTATTCAGTGGGAGAACTCCTTCCCACCCACTTTCCTCCCCCCTATTTCCCAAACCATTCCCTCTCACTTAAAGCTTTCCAAAACTTTTAAGACTTGATACTCCAGAGTGCTAAGCACCCTGGCCCTGATTCAGTAGAGCACTTCCACATAGGAATAATTTCATTTGAAGTCAATGCAATTATTTGCATGCTTTAGTTGCTTTGGAGCGAATTGCTCCATATTCAATAGGGTGGAGTCCACGGAGTCCTTTCCTGGCTGTGTCCCTGCTAGACAGGGAGGAAAGCTACAGTAGCTCTTTTCAGTCCTTGCCCCACTGGAGAACAAAATGAAGCGGCACCAAGAAAGGGTATTTCTGGGCAGGATGGGGTTGTGGTTCACTAATGCTGTGTTGTAAAAGGCTTGTTCTCATTGTAGTCTTATCAGAGCCTGAGAGATTATTCTTATCAGAGCATGTAACAATATTTTATCAGCTTGAAAGATGATTCTTTTATACCAGGGTAGCTGTAAGCCTCTTAAGACCTTTCCTTTTATTTACTTCTCTGCTGCACTTCTCTGCTTCTCTTCAATCAGCATTTGCCCTTTGATATGAAAGCTCTCAATGGAATGACATTTGACATATAACATTGTGCTGGAGGTGTTTTGCAGTGTTATATACCTGGATATGTGATTTAGGCCACTGCCTCTTAGTTTGCAACTAGAAGTACATCTCAAGAAGGGCTCCTGTGCCTGTTTTAGGAGATTTGGCCCAGCCATGCTCATTCCTGACTCACCAGGCTGGGGGTAGAAAATAAAAGCTTGCAGCTGTGATTTTATCTGTGCTACTTCGAGCTGCTAGTTTGTGCTCTGGGGTGAGCTGAGCAGCTCTTTGGGACATCCTCCTATTACATATGGAGTCCAGAGCAAGACTGAAACTCCTGAGTCCTCCTGGGAACGGGTACTTTTTAAACAACAACAACAACAATAATGATAATAGTTCCACTGTTCCACCTTCTGTGTCAAAATGCTCAACCTGGCCAATATCCACATCCTCGCCTTTTGGTATCCCAGTTTGGAAACCTCAGCAGGCTCCCTGTCCAGTCCATAGAGAAGTGGTGTTGGAATGGCATCAGCTGCTCTGGGCCTCTTGTGAAGTCTGTTTGTGTTGCCAGGTTGTTACCTTTGGTTTCAGCAATGCAAGGGGGTCTATAGGATAGTTTTACTCTGCCTGTTTCAGTAAGAATTAAGCTCATATAATCTCAAAGGTGATGCTGCAGGCTCAGAACCGCCAGGCAGGGATGGGAGCTGCAAAGGGCTCCCAAAGTGGTCCCCAGAGGTTCCTATGTGAAATGTCCAGCACAAAAACAGAGGGAAAAGAGTTGTATCTGCACCAGCCACAGGAGCAGGGCCAGAGCAGGCTCAGGGGCATGTCCCCTGGGCAGGCAACCTACCTCACTGCCAGAGTGGTGCCTTGGTGAGAACAGCCCTGGCCCTGGGGCAGCAGGGGCAGTGCATCCTTGGGGGCTGTCCCCCTGGGCAGTGCAGATGGGTCCCAATCTCCTGGCTGAGAAGAGAAAGGCTGACTGCAGGGAGCAAGGCTTGGCCCTTGTCCTCCGGCCCTGACTCCTTTTGTTTCTTAGCTTAGCCAAAATCAAAGTGACCAGCCTTGGCTGTTCATGTTTGCAGTGTAAATGAGGACACAGAAAGCAGTGTGAGTACTCAATGGTTTTATTTTATCACATTCATGCTCTTCTACTCCCTTCCCACACGCAGACTACGCATGGAGATTTGTCTGCTTCTGTTGGTGCTGCACATGTGGCAAGCACAGCCATGCACTGAGTGAATGCCAGGGCATGGTACATGCCCATGTCCAAATGACTTGGCAGCTAGAGAGGGTCTGAAATGTCCCTGTCACAGCAAAACCCACCTCTGCACCTTCCCTCTCACTCCAATCTTACTGTGCCAGAACCAGAGAAAGGGCAGGGAAAGTGCCATGGTGAAGGGAAAAGGAAACACAGGAAAACAACTGAAGGGAGTTGTCTTGAAGGAACCACTCTCGTTCCTCTGGAATTTTCAGCAGAAAATCAGAGCTTGTTTCATATCAGAGATGTGAATGCAAGGCACATGTGTAAGGGACCAGACCACAGGTTTGCTTGGCTCTGGGACTTGTTCCTGCCCCACAGCAGGGGCAGTGAGACCAAGATGGTGAGATCAAACCTTCCCCTTCTGCAGTACACTCAGCTGAAGGGAGCAGCCTGCACCCCACTGCTGCTCCCCCAATGCTGCCAGTCCTGCGGCCAGGTGACAGTGCATCCTGGCAGGGCTTGTGTGGATTGGGATCATGCCCCAGCAGTAAACACTGAGCCTAGTGCTGCCCCAGGCACAGGCACGGGGGCAGACTCATGATCCTGCATGGCAGCAAGGGCCTGTATGCATTTTTGGAAGTTTTTTGGAACTATTTCTCCTGAGGTCTGTGCTGTCTGGGTGCAGTGCAGGTGGCAAAACCCAGTGGCAGTGGGGCTGGTGGGGCCCTCACACCCCAGCTCCCTCTCCCCTCACTGGCAGTGCCATACAGGTGGTTGTGCTAGAGCTGCTGCCTGATGCACCCTGAATTTACATTGTCTAACCCTCCCTATTTTTGGCCTGTTCTTGGCAATTTTTAACTTCACCAACTTCCACTGAGAAAAAATGCCCAGTGGACCCTCCTCTCCCTCCCTTTCTCTTTAGGGCTTCTTGTCCACAGATGGAAAAAACATGCCAGTGCATCCCACACAGCCGTGCCAACTTCTGTAAATGGGGTCACAGTTCACAGCAGCTGCACTGGGCTGGTTTTGCTCATCTTTGCTCCTTGGCACCCTGCAGCCCAGGGTTTGGGCTGCCAAGGAACTGCTGCTGACCAGCTGCCTGCCCTGCTCTGTTTCTTGAGTGGGAGCTCTGTTGGCCCCCAGGGCTGTGGTGAAAGCATTTGGGGTTGTGGCTGGAAAACTCCCCACACACAGGCACCTGGAGGTAAACCGCCCAGATGTTTGGTTTTTTTGATTTTGTTATTCTAAATTCTTTTTTTTTTTTTCTTGAAGACCTGAATTTACAAGCTAGCCTCGTGGGGATTTTTTTCAGTTGGTGTGGGAAAGATCTGTGCTGTGGAGAGGAAAGGGTCTTGTCCCTAATTTCTGAATGCTTAAGGCTGGTGAAAGTGGCAACAGGACTATGTTATTCACTGTGACTACATCTACCCCTCCTTCTGATGTAGATAAGTCTTCTCCACAACAGACCTGAGCTGCTTAGGAAGGGAGTGATCCATCCAGAAAACCCTTTTCACATGGTCTTAATGAGGAGCTGGATCAAACTTTTAAGATAGCTTGTATAGTTTTTTAACAGAACTAAAGTCTAATCTAGAAATGACATTGCAAATTGATATTATACTAAAGGAATGACAAAGCATAGCAAAAAAATTCCCTGTACCTCTCTAATATCCAGCCGAAACATAAAATCTTTGTTTCTCTTGTAGTTTTGCTAGGACAAGAGGCAAGGGACAGAAACTGGAACATAGGAAATTCCACCTGAATATGAGGAAGAACTCACCTCACTGTGTGGGTGACCAAGCACTGGAACAGGTTGACCAGAGAGGTTGTGGACTCTCCCTCACTGGAGATATTCAGAAGCTGTCTGGACACAATCCTGAGTAATATGTTTGGGGGACTCAGACTGAGCAGGGAGCTTGGACCAGATGACCTCCAGTGGTCCCTTCCAACGTTATCCATCCTGGGATTCTGTGACTGTGGTACCAGCTGTGCTGCATTTTGCCAGCACTGGTTGCATCATCCCAACTGCAGACTGACAGCCTCTCTGGCCAAAAATCCCCCAGCCTGGTGATGTGTACCTGGCCTGTGTGATGTAGCCATAATGTGCTCATCGTTAATGTTTCATGCAGATATTTAGATTTGCATGAGCTTCACAATCACATTCAAACCCCTTGAGCTGCTGGGGCACTCACAACTTACTGTGAGGGGCTGGGGCCCTCAGCAATTTAGAGGGTGGAGCCCATCATCTGGCTTTAAAGTAGCTCCTTATGAATGTTCTAGACTGAGAGCAGGGGGACAGTGGCGCTTCCCACTGCTTGTACCCAGGGGAATAAAGGGAAGTGGGATTAGTGGGAGTTTTCAGAAGCCTCTAACTCACCATACAGCATAAATATCTTCAAGGGTTTGCCCTCAGGTGCTTCTTAAAAAAGCAGCTGGGTTAAAGTGGCTTTGCTAAGTTTGTTCCCATGAATATGATTTTCCCCAGGCACACTTTTTACATATACCTGTTAGATAAAAGCTACCACACAGTAAAAGGAAAACAACACACAACCCTCTTAATTAAAGATATCAGGGCAAGGAGGCTCCTCAAAAAAAAAAAAAAAAAAAGGTGATGTGGTTCTAGTTTACAGGGCCCTGAGAAATAAATCTTCCCATGACTTTTATGGTGGTCCCCCTGGTTCCTGCACAGAGCCTAGGCTCAGTGGATGCTGGCAAATCATTGCCCACTGATGGCAGGCATTAGAAAACCTAACTTAAAAGCTCCTTCTACCAGTCTGTTTTCTGGGGCTGGTCCCTCTGGGTGTACCCTGCCTGCAGCCTTGTATCTGTTTCCCTGCTTAGCTTATCTTCCTGCCTATCCAGTCCATGCTGGGATCCCACTGGCCCCAAACCCTGTGGGCTTTTCCAAATGCATGATGTATTTTGGAGGATGAGCTCCTTTTGTGCCAGTGATTATGGAATGCCTCTCTCCTCCTTAACCCACCCTTGTTCTCTGTAGGGTTTCCCTGCTTTTCCCTTTCCCCCTCCCCAGGTGTGGAT